AGAAAGATCATGTCATCGAGTGGGGTGAACGTCAAGGACTCCGGAGCAATGCCCCCAGGAACTAAAGCGGGACAGAAAAACAGCCCTCACTGAAACAAACACTCCACTCGGGTCTCGAGCTAATGGACTCTTGTGCGGGCATGCCAGCGGGTGAAAACACTTTTGACAGTGGAGAGAAAAATGGCACAAGGCCAAGGAGGGATGAAGGACATGGAGGAGATTAGGGGGTGAAATGAAAGGAAAAGTGTCCCGTCTTTCTTCCAAGCCTCGGGATAAAGTCAGACTCTGTGTTTTGCTGTCTGATAACAGAGCAGCATGTCTGGAAGGATGACAGCTGATGTTTCTCTTTCAGACTTGGACTGACAGAAAACAAGTAAAGTAATCCTCTGAAGTGCCAGAGCACATCTTTGCATGTTTTTTTTCTTCGTTAATGAGATGTGTCTCTTTAATAACTCTGTCAGGTATTGTTACAAGAGGAAAGATACAGTTACCTTCAAACCAGTTCATTTACTTGTGTTAAACAGGATAGTAAAAATTATCTTTAATTTTATACTTGTTTCCTTTCTCTTTGAGTTTTTATGTGTCTGTTAGCAAAATATATCATGAACCACTGCACAACCACTGACAAAATCTTCTCTTTCAAACTTAAAGGCTTCAACCTTTTTTTTTTATGTAAATGACTTTGACCTCATCCCATTTTCTATTTTACTTTTCTTGTTTTCTGGTTTTGTTTTAGTTGTTGTTTTTCCATTCTAACATGTTTAGGCATTGATTTGTGAAACAAGAAGTTGTGCATATTTAGATGTCCTTGATTTTCTGAACTAAGGGTTAGGTGACCACATATAGGAAAAATGTACTTTTGCTAAACAAATACAAGAAGCCAATGTGTGGAAAAGAGACACGGCCTTTATCACTAAAACCTACAATTGGAAAAGTTCCTCTGTGTTGCAGCTGTGGTTGAATTGCTAAATGCAGTTTTTTTCTCACAGTATTAACTTTTAAATGGTTTGCATGTTTCCTTCAGAATTAATTGTGGGGCTAAGGCAAGTAAATCACAACTGAGAAGGTAATCTGACTGCATGCGTACAAAAACTAAACCTGCTTCTCATTAGACACAAAAATACAAATAAAGAACACTACCGAGGGGTGTTAGACTGATATAAGTGGCTCAAAATCAAAACTTTGTTCTAAAATTCAAATCCAAGTACAACAAAAAAACAGCCGTAGCTTATTTTTCTGGCACATTTATTTTATGTTGTCGCTTTCTAAAGCTGTCAAATCCAATAAATAAATATCACAACACCGTACTAACCTCTGTGTGTTCTCCAATTTATGTAAATTCACTCCCTCCTTCCTTGAAGACAGCAGTGTGTAGGAGTGGATAATTAGGTGCGCTGTCTGTCTCCCCCCATTGCTCAGTGTTTTCAATGTTGCTTTAAGAAATTAATGTAAATCAATTCTACATGTTTACCAGATGTTCAAATACGTTTAAATGAAGTAAAATTATGAAAAAATATCTGCAGCCAAATGCGAGTCTTAAAAAACTAGCATCCACTGAAGGAATGTATTTAATGTCGGAGTATCAGAGAGAGAGTTGAAATCATTCCAGTCAAACCTTGAAAATAACTTTGTGCCTGACCTCATGAAAAACAACGGTCTGTCACTCTCCATCTGTTTTATGACTCTCAGCAACTACCATTTTAAATTTTAGCTCAGTATCTCAAAAACTAACTGACTTGACGATATTTTTGTGTTGGATAATGTCTCTTGGCTGTGGAGGCCATCTTTAACTGGGTTGACTCCAAAAGGTAACCAGACGTTAACGTACCACTAAAGGTTACTTTCTGAGAGATGAGTAAATATCTGTGAAATGACTAATATGGCATTTTGCTAACAGCGTTTACTAAAATGACTCAATGGGAAAATAGTAAATGAACATCTGCCATAATTAGTTAACATTCAGAATATGCGCTGGGATCAGTCTCAGCTATTACCACACCAAATCTTTGCTCACTATCTGTAAAATTATTTAAGCCAGTTTTGTTTTTGATTGGATCAGTTGGCTGTGGTGGCCATCTTGAATAGGATTGATTCCAGAAGGTAATCAGTTGTAGATGTCAATCCAGTCACTACTTTCTGAGAGTTTCATTAAAACTTGTTCAGTGATTGAGATATTTTGCTAACAGTACAGACAAATAACATTAATGGTCAATAACATTAGCGCCCTTTCTGTTAGCAGATAAATGGATTGGGCGATAACTGCCATCGTATATCTCTCTGCAGCAAGCTAAGACTGGTGCTCCTACTTTATATACATAACAATAAGGGTTTAACCATTTGTACTTCCATTCATCATCAATTTGCATTAGACTGCACTTAAGCTGCTGATGTATACGGGAAATTATTTATACAAAGATAAGCAAAATCATTTTAGCATTTTGCTGCCGGCCATGGGCTGAGCTGATTAATGCTTCACTAGTCTTCATTTAAAAGGCTGATCTTCCTTTTAGTTATGCTGATCCAGCTTTTTTTCAGAGTCTTTTTTTTTTTCAGAACTAGATGACTAAAGGTCTGGATTTTGTGAAGCATTGCAGAATAATTATTTGCGCAACAAGACAAAACTACAAATATGGGAAGTTTTGAAGCTAAGCAGCTAAGACAACACAGTCTCATGCATAAACATGCCTGCCTGCTGGATGGGTGATTATCATTTGTTAGGGTTCACCAAGTGACATCAAACTCCCACTCACTGTCTTCCTCTGTCTGGAAGGTAATCTCCCTGCTTTCCTTCTTGCCCTCCGGATTGGACAGCGCCAGTCGCACGTGGACTGTGCGAAAGGGTGGCAGGTCCCTTAGGGTGAAGTGAGAAGTGTTGCGGTCCACTGACAGGCATTCTCTGACCGTGGCATTGTTCCCTCCACTGCTTCCTGTTGGCATGGAGTACCGGTAGCATAGGGATAAGGAGTATGTGTGGCAGCGGGTCAGGTTGTAACCTAGTGGTTCCCACTGAAGGACCAACTGTCGAGGCTGGATCTCTGTGGCTGTGAGACCTCGCAGTGCCCGCATAGGCTCTGAAAAGACAGAACGCAGAAATATGACCAATGACACAAACACTTTCTTTAGCTTACAGTATACATGACAAGTGGAGGAAACTTCAGTCTATACTGGACTGAGGTAGTTTCAATCCTTTTTTGGTCTGTCATATGGTGTATTGTATGAAGTTAAATGTAGTTCGGTTTCATTGCTTAGCTTTAAATCATAAATTCTCAAACTCATGAGGAAACGTATTTCAATGCCCCGTGAGTTCAGGAAACCAAATGAAGTCATATTTTAGGGTATTTCTGTTTCCGTATTCCGTTATTTTATACCGTTGACTGAAAAAAGTTTGTGTGGTGGTGCAAACGTTCTCACGACATGTCAAAAGTTTAAGATAAGATAAAACTTTATTGTCTACCCCAATTGTGGCAGAAATTCTCCTTCGACACACTCTACATTCATCAAACACACACGAGCCAACAATAGAACATAATAAAATCCACATTATCACTATTAGTTACCACCATTAAGATGTGTTGCAGATGGTACAAATAATTTCTTACACATATTTTTCCTGGCTAGCAGGACTCGGTAACGTCTGTTTGATGGAAGCATCTGGAAGCAGTTGTGTAATGGATGTGAGGGGTCCTTGGTGATCAGGGTGGCTTTCTTGGTCACTGAGCGGCGGTATAAGTCTGACAGCAAAGACTGAGGTGAGCCAGGTATTGCACTTGATTGTTTGATTATTTGACATAATTTAGCTTTTCTGTTTTTTATTCAAAAAGGAGGACTGTAGAGTGTGTTCCAACTACAGGGGGATCACACTCTTAAGCCTCCCTGGTAAGGTCTATTTGGGGGTTCTGGAGAGGAGGGTCCGTTGGATAGTCGAATCTGAGATTCAGGAGCAGCAGTGCGGTTTTCGTCCTGGCCATGGAACACTGGACCAGCTCTACACTCTCAGCAGGGTCCTGGAGGGTGCGTGAGAGTTTGCCCAACCGGTCTACATGTGCTTTGTGGACTTGGAGAAGGCGTTCGACCGCGTCCCTCGGGGGACAATGTGGGGGGTACTCTGGGAGTATGGGGTACCGGGCCCTTTGATACGGGCTGTTAGGTCCCTGTATGACCGGTGTCAGAGCCTGGTCCGCATTGCCGGCAGTAAGTCGGGCTTGTTCCCGGTGAGAGTTGCACTCAGCCATTGGATCTTTTTTTTGTACCATGTGGCGTTTGTTTTAGCGTTTATCTTAGTGTATATCTTACATCCCTTTTTACTGTTTCTTTTTATACTTTACATTTTGCTATTTTTGAATGTAACTGGGACCTTATGTACATATTTTCATTCCATCTCATGTACCACATGTGATTTGAATGACAACGTTTACA